AATCATAGTATTCATAAAGCAAGAATCATCTGGGGGAAGGCTACATATGTATGGATGGGAAATTCCAGTATCAACTCAATAGTCCAGCTTTACTGATCTGTCTCCTTCCTCCTGAAGGACCAAAGCAGAATTCTTGTCCACCACCGATTACTGATATGTGTGCATAGAAACACATAATTGTCTAGAAATGTAATTTTTTGAGTGTAGATATTTTGATCAAAGGTCTGAACCATAATAATCCAATTAACAATGTTGTGAGTACTGCTATTTCTTAATGACTACTCTCAAACCTTTACTAATATAATCATAGGTACAATAACTTCCTTGGATTTCTTATTCTAATTCACTTTGCATTATGATCACTATGTTCTCATTTTAATTCTCTATGCATAATGCTCCCAAACACCAAGTCCCAGCTCATACCTCAACATGTCACCCAACAAACATCTCAGAGATTTTTCCATAATAGTTGCTGGAAGCCAAAAGAGACTTACTCAATCCTTTCTGTCAAACCTGGGGACATGCCCAGCTGAATGTTTCACGACATGTCTGCAAACCCCCAGGTTACGTGAATAGTTTTTTAACTCAGTCAACATGGTCTATTAAGTGTCTACAGCTTATGTGGAGAATTTAGGATACATAATGTTACATGAACACCTGGTGCCACCTTGAACCTATGTCCCCGTCTGTTTTAGCCAGGTGTGTTTCTGCCTGGACACTCTCATTGTTTTCCGTCTGCCACCACAGGTCCTGTTGCTGTCTTGGAGTTCGATTTCCCTCACTGACTAAAGTACAGAATTTATTCCTGCAGTGGGAGAAGATGATTTAATTGGTAAAGAGCAGTCACTTTTGCTCTCTTACATTCAGTAAACTTACAAGCTATTTCAGCATTTCAAAAAATAGACCTTCGGGCAGGAGCAGCATTTGAATCTAAACATCAACCATCTATCTACCTAAAATACTCAGAGCCCGGTGAAGTTCAGCTGTTACTTAGAAAGCCTTAATGGGCACCACGGGACCCTAACACATTGACTCACAAATATAAGTAGTCTGTCAGCTTTCTAAAGAACAAAGACCCAATCCTGCAAATCTCTAGTTACCTATCAAGGTCTGTTTCTATTTCTTAAGTTTTGTGCATCCTACATTAAATTTTAAAGATATTTTCTCTACCAAAATTGCAAATAAACTGTAGGCATAAGAAATCTGCCTTCTTCTGCATGCCTTCTCAGAAATATGAGAATCGAGTTAAAGGTCAAGACTATTAAAAAATAATGATATTGCAAAGCAAGATTCAAAGAATAAAAAGCTCCATGCTGTAATAAAGAGAGGACCCCCTAGTGGACAAAATGGTTCAAGCCATACACGTTCTACATCCACATGTCATAGGCTCCCTGCAGCTGTGTGCTGTAGACCCAAGCAAGGGCAACGCTGCTGAACATAAGAAAAATCAGTTGTAAATCCTAGCAGACTGAGCCAATACAAAATATCCATCCACTGACTACTGCATATTTGTTTTGTTCATAGAGCAGGGGGACATTCACACTGGAACTTTAATAGGGTTTGAAGAATGCTGAGACCATGACTGTGCCACATAGAACTCTGTGAATTCATGTGTGTACACTGGGAAACACTAGGGCTTTGGGACTGAAGGTTCTCCTGCCCAAAGCTCATTCTCACATTCACTTGTTCTTCATATGTAACTCACAAAAAATAGTAAACTTTTAATTTGCTACAAAGAATTTATTCAGAGATGGAGTTTACCTCAGTGATGACAAGATAGATGATTGTTTATACTGTTTTTCTATTTTCTTAGTGTTTTGAGACAAGTTCCCACTATGTTGTCTTGGCTGTCCTGGATCTCACTATGCAGATAAAGCTAACCCTCATCTTCTTGCCACTGCCTTACGGCTGTAAAACTCACAGAAACAAACCATCACATGACTAATTTGTAACATTTTAATTAAAACTGAAATATTCTTCTGTTGGTATCAAAACCCATTTGAAAACTGACTTGAATAGTTTTGTCCACCACCACTATTTGGTATTTCAGGACCAATAGAAACAGGATTAAGAATATATACCAATGCTAGGAAAGTCAATTTGGTGATGATAATACTTATTTTGGTTGACTCAGTATTTTTTTATCTATTCTTAGTATAAGCTGATTTTATTTTATGCACGACACTCTGGTTGTTTTTATGGAAAATAATTTTATAGATGACTAATAATTAAAAATATGCATGAGATGAGCAACTTGTTATGGGAAATCAGAAAAGAGGGTTGTGTTTGATTTTGAAACTATTTATATGTTCAATATCCAGTCTGATGTTGGGCAATGAGTGAAGATTAGATAAGGTCAATCCTAATTCCAAAAGGACCAGGAGAAAACATAAGGACTGTAGACAGCACCTGCTGAATATCTGTGCCTTTAAAACGTGGTTTGGGATTAGAAAACAGAAAAAGTATGGGAGGACTTTGGACAAAGTGGAAACATCAATTTTACAATATGGAAACTAAGATAGGAGTTATTTCCTTTCATGCATAGATGCATGAAGAAGCAATACTAGTACAAAAAAGATGTCCAGTAAATCATAGTCATCATTCTTAGTTAAAATAGAAATGATGTATTTACAGTGAAAGACAAATGGAGAATGTTATTCTTCACACATTTTTTAAATAAGTAAGAATAGATTTGTTTTAGCCTTAAGATCTCCAAAACATTTGAAAAGATTGCAAGATATAAATGACTCCATAGTGGAAAATTCTGATATTAGAGAATTATCAGAACGTTGCAACAATGCTAAATTCTAACAACTTTACAGTTTGACTTAAGATGCTCCATATGGTCAGGCTCTTTCATTTGGCTGAAATTCTTCCCCTCATACATACAGATTATCAACCGAATAATGTACGAATTTCATCAGTGTGTCTAATTTCTTGGACTCCTGCCTTTTATTTGGCTTTGTTTGTTTGTTCTTCATTCTTGTATTCTTTCTATTCTTATCTTTATACCATGAAAAGTATAGATTTTTTGAAGCTAAATCTTGGGGGAGCAACCCAGGATGTATTATTGATGTCATTAGGCCATGGAAAGAGAAATGAGGGTAAGAAAAGAGTGTCATAAATGACCCGTCTAGAGCTGCTTAGTTGTAAATTCACCAGTTGTACTCTTATTCATATCTTGGGAAAGAGTAGAATTCCATAATCAAAACAAGGACTTCAATTCTATTTTACACTTCAACACGAATTCTATTTAAATGCTTATTATTAAGAAAAGAAATTCATTAGGAACTATAGGCATGCATTCTTTACTTTCATGAATGGCATCATTTCACATGAATTATCTCTATGCAAAAGTCCAGTAAGTTAAATAAAAGTACATAAAATAATTGTAGCAGATAATAAAAGTATGTTTAATATATAGATAATATAAGCCATCAGCATTATAACCTACAGAAATTATTTATTATTATTATTTACAGTTCAGATTCTGCCATATATCAGAAACATGATTATTCTAGAAGCATAAAATTACAAGCTGCAGTACTCTCGGCCACAAATTCCATAAAATATAAATTGAGAGGTTGGCAAAACATACAAATTTATTGCAGTATTCATAAGGATAGAAAACAAATGCCTCCTGTGAGGGATGAGGTCCATTAAATGAAAACAGCAATTTCATTCCTTGATAGAACTAGCATGCATATATTTGTGTACTTTAAAGTGCCATACTTGAAAATATAAAGATGGATCTTTGATGGAGACTAAAGCAAACAATGAGAAACAAATATGAAGGGTTGCAAAATAGACCCTCACTTGGAGAGAGAAAAAGAGAAGAGAAACGGTTCTGTTCAGAGAATTCCATTGACCCTTTCCCATCCCCACACACGCTCTGATTAGCTCAATAGCAGTCTTTGTCTCCCCTGAAGCCTTCAGCCTTGAAAAACACTCATCTCTATGCAAAGCAATTAAGAAAAACGTGTGTGCTGCACAAGGTAGGTTCTCAATAATGATGCTTTGACCATCCAGAACAACATGAAAAGGAGATAGGTATTAATGAGCCCCATATGCTGGAAGGAGCACCCATCTTAGCAATAAAAAGGCTTTGTGAGAAAGGGCTTAATTTTATCTCTGAAGGCCACAGAGTCCTTCACAATGGTGTCCTTCCTGGAGATCACACGCTGAATTTAGATAGTTCTCCTAAGCTTTCTTAGCATCTGCTGAATCAGGTCAGCCAAGAGAAATCAACTTTAGTCTAATTTGAAATTCTAATTGTTTCTACGTGGATCATTATTTCTGTAGAAATTATTGCAAGAGCACATACTTATTTAATTATCTCCATTTAATGTTGCTTGTTGCTATTAAGCATAGGGGCAAAGCCGGAACTTACCAAACAAAAGGTTTAAACTTTAAATTATTCCAAACCATTGACTATAAAGCTAAAGTAATGAACCCTCAAAGCAAGTCTAAATACTGCAACTTACATTTAAAATTTCATTCTTAAAATATGATTTAATATTACATGTCAACGAACTCTCTGTAACTGACTGCATTGCTCAAAAGCGGCCTAGTGATAGTTCTGGTGTCATGTGACCCTTCCTATTCCTTTTCCAAGAACTGGCTTCTACTTCACCCCTTGGAGCAGAAGTTTGTGACCACCCTGACAAATGACAAAGATTCAACTTCTATAATCAGATAAAATACAGTACCACCATTTCTAATGGAGCAAACTTCAGAGGCCTTGTATAAGACACTCATCTGTCCTTAAGCCATCAAGCTGTCAAAATCTCTCTTCTCTCTCTCTCTCTTCTCTCTCTCTCTCTCTCTCTCTCTCTCTCTCTCTCTCTCTCTTTCTCTTTCTCTCCACGTCTCCCTTTTCCTGTCTCCCTGTTCCTCTCCTTCTTTCTCTCTCTCTCATCCTTTCCTTCTGTCTCCCTCTTTCTCATTCACACACACACACACACACACACACACACACACAGAGAGAGAGAGAGAGAGAGAGAGAGAGAGAGAGAGAGAGAGAGAGAGATTAGAAGGTAGGGTGCTTGGGAAAGTCTGTAACCCATTTTACCCATTTAAGGCCCTGGATTCCAGGTCTACCAACTGAGGTCATACAGATGGTGTATCAGAGATAAGCTGACCTACAATGCCTTCAAAAAAAAAGTTTCTACATAACATAATCTGTACAAATCATAAATGACTATTTTTCTCAAGTAGATTTGAGTACATTTTATTTTATAATCACAGTAGAAGGCATGCACATATACAGGAAACAGAGAAACTGATAATGAACGTAATAATGTCACTCGGCATAGCTCCCTTCTCTGTAACTGTCTTTAAGTATGCCGCTACCATGTCTGAATCAATAGTAAAGACCTTAGTAAACTCAAATGTGACCAATTCACAAACATAATAGACATGGCTACTAACTTTAATACTAGGTGATAAAAATGTCACACTATAACATCAAAAGAAAAATGACATCAAGACTAAGTAATATAAAAAGGCTTAGAATATGCATTTATTTATTTATTCATTTATTATTGTATTAGGTATCACACTCTGAACTCAGGCATGTGAAGTAAACCCTTCTTTGAATTTACTCTTCTCCGTGTAAGGAATGTGACTTCCAAATACCAAAATAAAGCACTTTTTACTTCCTGTTTCTTATAAAGTTTAAGACAATTCTTGAGAGTTCTATTGACACTTAGGATATGCTCATAACATCTAATTAAAAAGCCAAGAGGTGAAGACTATGCTTTAAGAATTTGAAAGTGTTAAAAATCAATAAGAAATAAACTACACTTGGTCTTGAAGATCTTTGAGAATTCATAAAACACTATCACATTTTGTTTCTTTATTCACAGTACTCCAAAACCACGAGACAGGGTTTTTGGCATAATTATGTTTTCCTATGAATACTAATGGATTTACACCTCCCAACACACACACACACACACACACACACACACACACACACAAGATATCTCATTTTGTAAATTATTTCAGAGTTGAAGCAATAACTTATAAACATGAAATCACAATAAAGAGAAACTAGCCCAAATTAGCAAAATAGTACAAGCCATAGTACTAGAATACACAGGGCAAAGTGATACCCTAACATTTATACACAGGAGATACAGGATCATATTTTATCTGATCAGAAAACAAAACAAAAATAATTAGCATGTTGATAAATTTAATTGGCATAGAATTACCTTGTTTCTTGCTGACAACTCTGCCAAAACTGTCCTCATAATCAGACTCCAGAGGACACACTTCACATATATAAGGTGACAATTAAACAAGAACCACTGCATAGGTTTGACAAGCTACAGATTGAGTGTTTATTAGACACTAGAGTGTTTATATAGACAAACTAGAATCAAGTTTCCGAAATAAAAAATGTCTATCTTCTTATTTATAGAAAGCTGTTTGGCCAAAATCTGGAAATTGAGACAACGATGATTCTTTGCAGAATAAAAGTGTTCATGCCATTGCTCAAGCAAGCAAGCTTCTCCTGTGACGCTCTAGGCTCTTGACACCGCTCTTCTTCACTCATTCCCAGATGTGACTTTACAAGTAGGAAGTGCCTTGCCTCATACTGGATCTGCTGAGTGGGCCCTTCTGCTTGTAAGAAGGCCACCTACTGTACTGCGGAAGTGCTGCATGCAATGAGGGAGAGAAGTGTTATCAGTATCTCTTCCCATATGGTAATAGTATCGTCATCACTTCACCACCCAAATACCATCAAAAACAAACTCAAACGCAGCTGAAAGCCCTCTCTTGCCTACAGAAAAGCAGGCTGATTGGAACTCAATTGGCTTAATGTTTTCAGTGTTTGATCTTAAGGGTCTTTATTTGGCTCAGACATTTCCATTAGGAAACATATTTGTATATCTCTTTTCATTAAGCAACTTGTTGGCCTCGAAAGTCACTATGTCTAAGTATTTATGTTTTCAAGACGCTAAAAGGTTATAAAATTTCCAATGCAAACTCCTAAAACTGTCTAACCCTTGATATTTTGAAATTAAACAATCTGTCATATGCACATTTTAATTCCCCAACATTGAATATGTGCATTTAATTCTTTCCCAACTATACATCAAATATCAATATAATGTCTCTATGCTCAAAGAACAGATTGAAGAATTTCTGAATCTCTCATACAAGATGTTGCTTTTATTTACAATAATGAACATTGTGTCCTCAGTGGAACATTAATGTTTTAGGTGACTTGTCAATTCTTTGAATAACTGCACTTGCCATAAAGTCATAGTGACTGTGGCAATACAGACAAGTTACCCAAGGGTTAAAATGCATAGATCTTCATCACTCAGATAGGATGTGGCAGAGTAGAGGACACACTTCACCTGGAGTGTGTTGGCAATGTTCTGAATACTTAGAACTGTCAGAGAAGCAGAAGAAAGCCTGTCTTAGCCAAAGCATGAGAAGAAAGTAGAGTATAGACAAAGCTGCCGTCAAGGCAGATCTCGGGAGTAATAAACATAGGGCTTATGGGTGATTGGAATGCCAGAATTCTAATCTGCCAATAGTGAGACTTCTTTAGAGGATTCTCACAAGGGAGATGGCAAGGCTTGACTTACATGTATCTTGTACGCAATATGGGAAAAATAGTAGAAGCTACATGGCAAGGATACTATAAAGATTAAGTGATTAAGATTAGCAAAAGATGGCGACATGTGACATATACTAAGTGTTTTATCAGTTGTGCCCCATATCTGTACATAAACATATACACACTTGCATAATCTCCTCTCTAGGAAATGTTATTTGCCTTTCTAATTCACAGTACAATGTCCCCTGTTGGGGGCAGGCTTTACCAAACTCTGTGTCCCAAATAGCAAATGCACTTACCCTGAGAGGTTGTATCTCACTAATTACTTCGTCATTGTTGCTCATTATTCCATTCTCATATTTTACTTTCATCTTCCCCTTCCTCATTAGGAAGGAAGGAATATGCAGGTAGAAATTTTGCTTCTTTTGAATCTTTTGTCCGGTTCATAAATCTTGATAAATATTGGGCAATTGTCTAGCTATGTCTTTAACTCATTAGTTAATACCTTTGGGAAACCTGGATTCCAATCTCATTATTTAGGACACCATTTAATTTCTCAGCATTTCAATTAGTTTTTCTATTATTGAAGATAATTATGGTCACTCTTCCTCAACCATGGTGTGAGACACAAACTGAATAATTTATGGGAAGGTGGTGCAAAAGTGCAAATGTTACCCAAAGACTGGCCGTCATCTTAAAGAACAAAGTAACAAAATATGGTAATTAGATGACTTAGACTAAAGTTACTTCAAATTCTGACTGTAAGTCACAATCTTCCTGTCTTTCTGATTCTTCCTTGCAAGATGGTAGCAATGCTATTCATAATTTACTTCATTATTTTACAGAAGTAAAAAAGTCAAATGACCCAGTTCAACAGCCTACTACTAATTCTCCTCAGCTTGGACTCTTGTCAATGTTACATCAAAAGAATTGTGGGTTTTTGGGGACATAGACTCTATCTCCTTGAAAAACCCTTGCTGAAAATAATAAAATCTCTATCTCCAAGAAGGTGACAGGGGCTAGTTTGATAAGTGACAATTACCAAACCAAAATATATTAATTATACCAACCATCATTTTCTAGTACTTGTATACTAACTCACCTTAGGGCTTAAAAATTGTTTTATGATTTATATCCATACAGTTGTTTTCAGTCTCCCTGAACTGAAGTAGTCTTGAGAAAAGCCTTCCTTATCTTTTTTTTAAAATGGTAAATTTTTGTGACAAATTTCAATAGGTTAAACAATGATGTAGATTATTTTGACTGAGCTAATCAGAAATTCTACCAGTATACATTTGGATCTAACTAACTCTTGTTAAGTCAATAGTCTCCTCTGCTTTTATTTCCTCTCACACCTTGTCGTTTCAGTGCCCAGTATATCTGGGGGAAATTTACCTTATAATTGAGGTTTATCTAGATCTGATGAAAATAATTTCTTCCCTAAGTTGCATAATCTTTACAATGGTTGGAATTCTTACCATTCCAGTTCTTGTCACTTCTGAATCTCAGTGTCTACTTCAGTGAAATGAATGAGTTGCATCAGACAGTCGTGTTACAGTTCTGATATTTGATGAATCTAAAATGCCATTTGTTATATCTTGATACTGCTCTTAAGAGTCATATGGGTGCTGGTGAGGAGAAGGAATATACAGATATGATCATTCTTTGTGGAAGATCCACTAGCAAATTTTCACAGAAAAGTTTTGAAGTTTGAATAGTATGGATTATTCCCTTTACTTGTCTACCATCACCAACCATATCTGTACAGACATTGCCTTCACCCCAAATCTACTTAAACTTCCCTGGGCTAAATATGGCTCTGTATGACACGTGGTGGGACCAATTTTAGATATCTGATGTCAAGATTAAATCAACAGGAAATTACGACACTGCTTTAAATTCCTGTAGTTATTTTAGCTTTTAATTTTGTTGCATTTTTTAAGAGTCATCAGTCCTTTGAAAATATCACATGATTAAGAAAATCTGTTCTGAGCAAATTTATATTTATTGATCCACTGTCTTTGATACATGGGTTTCTCCATTCACCAAATTTCTGTGCTTGGAATATCTATCAGTTCTGAACTACTTACATTAGGTACATTTGGAATTACATGAGTAGGCGAAGAGTTATCCATAAAAATCAGGCAAAAGATCAGTCTTATAATGATTTAAATTTGAATTTGATTTAGAGGCTAATTTTCATTTAATATTGTGTCTTATTTCCTTTTTTTGTTTTTTTTGTTGTTGTTGTTATTTTCTGTTTGTTGTTTCTGGATTTGGGGGTACTGGGGATATTGCCTTTTTCGAGTCAGGGTTTCTCTGAATATCCCTGGCTGTCCTGGAACTCTCTTTGTAGACCAAACTGACCTCAAAATCAAAGATCCACATGCCTCTGTCTCAAAGTTCTGGGTCAAAAAGTATATGCCCAAGAACTTGGCTTCATGTCTGAATTTTTTGTTGTCCCCTACAGATATGTCACTGTTTAACATCCTGATTATGGTTTTTCAAATGAGTGAATATGAGACACTTTCAAGGTATACCTATAAATCCAAGTTTTAATCTGTATAAATTTACTTGAAAATTGAAGGAAGTTTCTATCTTCTGGCTCAAAGATTGAACAGTACAGGTCAAGTCAATGAAAGTCCCCAGTATTTCACTGGGTATGCCATTTTGACACCGTTGGATAGTGAGTCTTAATGAAGCCAAATAGAGATAGCAGACAGATATGCCAAACATTTAGAAGGTAACATTATGCATCAATTTTTCTGAAAACCAAGGTAATGTAAGAAGGTTAAAGAAATCTACCAAAAGATTCTAAACACTGTAAAACTTGGCATTGCTCTATTACATACAACCATATCCAAGGAGTCAAAAATGATTATTTGTTCCTTTTCCCCTCCATTATTTTAGGAAACCTATAATAATCAAAATATTTTACAAAGTAATATAATTATTGTCTATTATCCAATGAGATTTAGAAAAGAAGAAAAAATTCAATAACTAATAAACTATTGCCTTCTTTATCTCCTATAACAGCCCTGTTGGGGAGAAATGTTTCCATTTTGTAGTTGAAAAAACTAAAAATTGGATTATCTAAGAAATACCTATCCAAAATTGTATAGTAGAAATATTATAACCACAACTTGAAATTGTTGATGTTTAAAGTACAACCTTATACTTCCCGCTTACCACATTAACATAATGTAGTGCCAGAAACAGTAAGATAAAGTCAACCTGGTTGATAGAGTTTCCCAGTCCTGTCAGTTTTCACAAAGCAGGAAGATTGGAGTTAAACAGACTTTATCTGGAGACCTTCTTGGCAATGGAGGCCACAATGTTCTAAAATATATAGCAATGGAATAAAACAATCCCACTGAGAAATCAAACATCCCAGGCAAAGGTATGGGAATAAAAATTCCTAGCCTAGATTTTTCTTCAGCATATTCAAGAAATGCTGAAAAAATCTACAGAAAAATTTCCAATTACTCATGTCATGGAAGGTTTTTTTTCCTAGACACTTTAATTCATTGGAGTATTGCTTTGTCTAGATAATTAATAAACACACGTTTCCATTTTCATTACCCAGATATCCCTCTATAATACTCTACCTCAAAGGAGGCTTAAGACAAAGCTTGTGTAGCCTTCAAGCCTCGTGTTGTTAAGTTCATAGGTTATCTATCTCTATCTGCTTTACTGCAATTTCTATGCCTTGACATGATTTTAAAAGGTCTGTAAACACATAATTCACTGGAACTGGGTAGGATCCTTTAAGCCACCATAACAAGGTATTAATAAAAACATATATGAGTGTAGATGTAAAGAATATTTTTAGGTGTGATTTATGTTTAAAGCAGTAGATACTGATTAAAATAAATTGCTTCCTTACATTAGTTGACCCTATCCAGTGTAGCTTTTCTCAAGCTTTAGGAAAATGACCTACTTACCTGTGTACCATAGAATTCAGACTGTGTAATGTATTTGATAGTCAACCTATAATTTCTCTTGAATTCCAACCTGCATTTTTCAGATGTCTATGAAAGGAAGAAATTTTATTAAATTTAGTATAATATTAATAATATGGAAAGGAGAAAGAGGGACAAAGAAGAGAAAATGAAAGAGGAATCTTACTGAGCTTTTGTAATTAGAGGAACCCAATCAAGCTACTCTGAAAATGGCCTAATATTTAATGAAATATAAGCATCCCTTTCTTTCTTATTTTCTAGCATTTCCTGCTATTAGCTTTCAAATGACTTAGATACCAAAATTGTATTCCTAGTGCCCTCATTCTCATGAGTTAACAGTTTACAATGCTTGTTCCACCCTACCTCTTGCTTTATTAGCAGACACTTCTAATAGATTTGATTTCAGAATGCTGAAAAAGATATAATCATCTCTTTTCTAAATGACAGCAAATTAACAGTTTATGAAGGAATGACTTTTTTATCCCCAAAATTTCCATATTCCAGAAATAAGGAAACATGATCTCTTACAAACTTAAATTAGGTCACATATTTGTTACTCAAAATCTAATGGGAGTTTGTTTGGTCACTGCTCTCTCTTCAGATGCTTGCTCCTCAGGTCCCATCTCCAGACACATAGTCACATTGACTCAAACAAGCTGAGATGTATGAGCAAGTAACAAGTTAAAACTTTCACTATCGCTGTGAAGACCTGCATACTCTTCCCTAAGAGCATTCCTGTGAAACCTGTGTATAGCCCTGGATGGACAAGGAGGCAAACAGACCCTTCACAGGCAAACACTTCTCTCCACCCTAAAATCTCCGTCTATGATCTTAGAGTGTTTGCTCATGGCCTTTTATGCTCTCGAGAACTATCTTGTCTGTATTGAATATGTTCTTTCTTGTCAGCTAGAATTTGAGCTATTCAAGTGTCTCCAACTCAGCTGAGCATGTGGCGGGTCACCTGCCACCCCAGCACTAGAGTGTAAGGCAGGCAAACCACAAGTCCAAAACAGTCTGGCCTAGGTAACAAGACCTGGCTCAATAGAAAAGCAGTAAAATATTGAATATTCTAACTTTTGAAAACAGATAGTTATCTATTTATGTTTAATAAATATTTGCTATACAATCTGGAATTCTTTTTTTATAAACATAAATAAACATGCAACATTGACCATCAGACTCTCAGCAGTCACATTGCAACAAGAACACGTGCTAAAGATTTGTTCTTAGAAATAAGCAAAAGATAAACTTGTGGACATGATATAAAATGAGTTCTAGAACAGATCAGAAAGAAAGCTAGCAGCAGAGCACTGACCAGGAGATCACAGCACAATCAATAAAGGGTTAAGGAGATTCAGGCTGTATTGCTTGGAAGTCCATTGAATCACACTGGTCACTGACTCTTAGTTACCCTCTGGAACCTAAAATTGCCCATTGTTGAAAATACCACATACTTGAGATATAAAATATGGAGCAATCAAACAGTTAATGGTCTAGATGTTTCATCCCTATTGACTGGCTTTCGTTATCCTGTAAAGTGCTGTGCACAATATGGAGGAAAAAATAATCGCCAATTATTACCAGCTGTTAACATTTAGAGTTACAATAATGACTGGTTATTACCACTGACTCAATAATGGCATGAACATGAGGGAAGCAACAACCACTTTCTGACTGGAACTACAGGTTGCTGTATAAGTTGAAATCCATATCTGACACCATTATCAAGCCAAAAACATATGGTTAGGAAGGTTATAGGTTCTATGTGATAATCTACTATGGTTGCTCTGCTAAACAGATGTTATGTTAATCTGACTTTTAATTATATTGTTATAACCATGAATCAGTTGAACTCTTACCTTTCATCTGAGAAGTTTCTATTTTCAGTAGATAGTGATCAAAGCAGAGACCAATAATTGGCCAAAGATCTAAGACAAACAGACTATAGGATGTTCAGTCATAAATAGTACATATATGCCACACTCTCTCTTCCTAAATTTCAGGGGTGCATAAGAAGGAATGGAAAGGGTGCAAGAGCCAAAGAAGATAAATGACTACAAAGAAACAGTATCCTATAGGCACAGTAGAACATCTCAACATATGAAATCACAGTGGCTGTAAAAGCCTTCACAAAGCATGTACAAGCTGAAACAAGAAAAAAATTCCAACATGGAAAGAAGAGTTCATCGAAAAATCTAATCCCTAGCAATGGAAGAATTGGAAAATTTCAGCTGCTGGAAGATGAATAAGCAGTTTTCTCTAAAAGTATATCTCCTGGTAAGTTGATCATGTTCCAACTGAAGACCAGAAATCCAAAAATAACATATATTCTACAGCACAAATTTGATTTGGTGGGATAAAATCTGTGGACACTCGGTAGGATTTAGAAGAAATGGGAAGAGTTTGCAATCTGTTACCCTTGCCTGATATATCTAGATCTACCTGACATCTGAAGAGTTAGTGAGTTAGTGATAGTCAAAAGCTGCTGGGGATATATATATATATATATATATATATATATATATATATATATGCTAAACAGTTTATAATTAGCATAATTCTCTGTATGTTTCTTTGAGATTAAGTGGCGATAGAACTGGGTGGTACAGAAATTTTGATACCTTAATTAGTACAATCAAACTAGAGTATGAAACAAAAGAGAGAGGAGAAAAGAAACCGAAATATAACTGTTTTTAGATAACCTGATTATGAATATGAAAAAGGTCAAATGATCTACCAAAAGACTCTTATAAATGAAAATGAGTTCCTGGATGGCTAGAGCAATAGAGAGAGACCCTGACACAACAAGAAAAAAATTCCAATCCAAACTAACAAGCAAACAAAGAAAACCAAACCAACAATGAAATAAGGAAAACCAACTACCCTCCAAACACCCCAAAACAATACCTAAGAATGAAACTAGCCAGGGTGATAGAAGAGCTCCACAATAAAATGTATAATACTTAATACAAAGGAAAGGAACTGAAGATACTAGGAGATTTTAAAATCACTATGCTTTCAAAAGTGATATAAAGATTCAATGCAGTACCCAGCAAAATTTCAATGACCTTGACATTGTTAGCCATTGTAAAATATAATCCAACCCTATCTCACCAAAGTCAAAATAGCTACCATAAGAAAAAGTAATAATTGCTTTGAGAATGTAAGGAAATAGATACCTAACACATTTTAAGAAATGAAATTTGTGTAGCCATTTTGGAAAAAAATGAAAATAGAACCACCATATGGTCAATGTTCACCATTTCTGAGTACATAGTCAAAATAAATGAAGTAAATATATACAATGTATTTTGAGCATCTTGACCTCTCAGAATTTCCCCCCCAATTCTTATTAAATACAACCCTACTACCAACCCCCTCCTATTCTAGCTTCATGTCTTCTTTAGTGTGTACACACTCACACACACACACACATTTATACACTCTTACCAAGTATATAAATCCATAATTCTTGTCTATGTTTAGACATGTGGCTTGGTACCTTTTATCAGCAAGGCATTCTCATCTTGCTTACTCTGCTTCTGACTGGTAACCACATTCTGGGCCTTTCCTCTTTACAGAAATCACCTAGTCTGGTCGCCCCATCTATACTTCCTGCCTGACTACTGGTCAATCGGGGTTTTATTAGACCAATACAAGTGACAAATCTTTATGAGATAAAAGAGCATTATCCCAGAATGTTTCCTTCTTTTCCTTTCAAAACAAGAACTCTGAATCTGATATCCCTTGTTTAACTTTGTTTCTTGACAGTTATCCATAACAACTTTTAACCAACACTCTAAACAAAGGCAAACATCCATAATTCATTTTTAGGAACATGGACATACTTTCTGGGCTACTTCCTGCTAATTGTGAGTGCTGATAATTCTGTGGGAAACAAAAGAAAATTTAGGATTATGATCAAGTCCTGACTGAAGTGTTCTCTGGTGCTGGAACATCTCAGCCAGGAGTCTTGATACTGTTCTGTATGTAGAACTCAGAAGAAATTGCAACAGAGGTGCTTTGAAAATTTGGATCATCTGGGCCATCCACTCTTATCAGAGATTTTTCAGGCAGTCTTCCTTGAGCAAACCTAATTTTTCTTAACCCAGAATGAATCCACAACCTCTCATTTTCTGTGGAAACAATAACAAAACTTCTTCTTTAAAGAAACATATCTTTTGACTTAAAGTTTAAATTCAAAGCATTTTCAAAATACGTAGGTTGTATTAATCCAGCATCATTTATAATAAAATATCATTTAGCTGCTGTTGCTCCTTCTTTAGTGGTCAAACAGCTCAAAGACAACACAATAACATACAGTATCTAGATTCTCTAAGTATTTTCCATCTTTATATGTCTTATTTTTTTCAATATTTCTTTGATTTTTATTTAAGTTTCATTTTTTTTAGCTTTGACTGTCCATCCTGGACCTCACTCCATAGACCAGGCTGCCCTTGAAATCACAGAGATCTGCCAGCCTCTGCCTCCCTTGTGCTGGGATTAAAAGCATGTGCTACCATACCTAACTACTCTTTCTCTCTTTTTAAGGACTTTCTCTATCCTTTTTCTTTTCTCTCCCAAGACTACATATATTTTTAAACACACTATAAACCATTTAGAGGTTTTTTTTTCATCTGAATCTGTGCATCCCTCTTCTTTTGATCACATGAATCTTTAATTTGCTAAGCAATAAGGCTAGGATTAAAACTATGGCTTTGGTGTCAGCTTTCATTAGCTTTCTGAAAATCTAGCTTCATGACAGAGGGACTGTTGGAAGCCATGTTTATTACTACTACTCTGTAGAGTTTCAGCAAGAAGCCATCACCAAGAAGCCTAATACCATAGATATCATTTAAGTTTGGTGGTGTGTCCACTAAAAGAGCTGCAAGGCCTTTGCAGGTAAAACTGAGTCAAAAAGTCTCTCTTAAATAAGGCTTGCTTGCCCTTAGCAAACACAGCCACCCAAAAAATGCTGCTACCTAGAAGTCATGCTTAACTGTGTTCTTTTGTGTCTAGAATTCCTTCCCAAGCTCTCTCAGGTTTTATGTGGATGTCATTGTCCTACATTGGTGTCATTTGTAGGAGGAGTTTCTGTCCCACCAAATCCCACAGCCATTCAGTTTGTTCAATTAATATAATCCATTCAAAGGATTATGGTAATAAACTATTTGACATTTGAGCTATTAGCTCAGGTTTATTATTAACTAACTCTTACAAATTAAATAAGCCCATAATTCTTGTCTATGCTAACCATATGGTTAGGTACCTTTTATCAGGTAGACATTCTCATCTTTCTTTCTCTGCTTCTGGCTTGTGACCACATACTAAGCCTTTCCTCTTTCCAGAACTCCTCTGGTCTGGTTGTTCCACCTATAGTTCCTGCCTGGGAACTGGCCAATCAGCATTTTATTAAACTAATACAAGTGACAAATCTTTACAGAGTATAAGAGCATTATCCCACAGCATTCTGTTGAGTAGAAGTGATGAGAATAGACATCGTAGTCTAGTTCCTGATTTAATGAAGACTCTCAGTTGTTTTTTTTTTTACTCACTTTGATATTGACCATGGTTTTGGCATATGGAAAGTTTAATAATTTATATGTTGAGTTATGATCTAGTTACAAATAACCTATAATTTATCAAATAGATTTTTTAAACATTTTTAGGTATTTGAGTGTTTTGCCTACTTTTATGTCTGTGCACATCTTGGGTACCTGGTATGCACAGAGGACAAAAGAGGGTATCAGATCTTTGAGACTGGCATTAAATGTTCGTGAGCCACTATATTAGTGAGGGAACTGAACTCCGGTCCTCTGGAAAAGCAGTCAGTGTCCTTAAGGGCTGAACCATTTCTCCAGCTTTTTTATCCAAGCTTTTAACATGCAACAATATTGAATTTTAGCAAATGCTTTTTTAGTCTTTTCTGAAATAATTTTCTGAGTCTTTTCTTCATTTTGGGTATATGTTATATTGCATGTATTGATATGAATATTTTTAAGCTTTCTTTTGTCCCTGGAATCAGTCACTGTGTATAATCATTTTAATGTCCAGCTTTTAAAATAAGTCATCTAGACAAGCATAACAGTGATTGCCTATAACCTCAGCTAATAGGGATACTAATGTCAAAAGATCACAATTTTAAGTTCACCTGACAAAGCAATGAAATTCTGTCTCACAAAATGACAGTTTTTCTTCTCAGAGTGTAATGTATCTTTTTATTGTTTTAAGAGAATGTTCTAATTTTGATGAAACCCATTTTCTAATACGTTGTGATTTTCCTGTCACATCTAATGATCATTGGCTTAGCTCTATATCTAGACCATTCTATCCTATTTTCTAAAATATTGTTTTGTATTATGAAATATAGTTCATTTTGACAATGTACCTCAGTGGTAAGATATATGCTTTGTTATCAAGTCCCTGCATTTCCCAGTTCCTCAAACATAAACAATGTCAACAAATACAGAAATATTTACCATTTTATATTTTTAGTTTTAAATTTTATTTTACAGTTTATTTTAAATAAAGTTTTACATTAGATGGAAAGTAAGTTGAGATTTAATGGGGAGATTAATTTTAAAGTCCAATTACCCTACAACATTTGTTCAGATGTCTATATACTTACATTTAATAATCAAAAGTCAGTGATATTTCTTTATTTGATTTTATTTTGGTGAACTTAATGTCTAACCAATTCATCTAAGGTTGGCTATGAAGTAGTCACATAAAATTCTTAAACTGAAATAGACGAACTTTTATCTTTTTTCTTTATTTTTAGCTTGAAATTCTTCAGTTTCTCCTTTTCTCCTCCTCACTGCCCTCCTCCTCTTCCTCCTCCTTTTTCTTCATCATCATCATCTTCTCCTTCTTATTTTGGTTTTTCCTTCTCTTAGCCCTTCCCTTTCTTGCTTTATCCACTTTTTCTGAATTCCACTAATCAGTTATAGATAGATGGCTCAGCACTGAAGAGCACACACTTCTCCTGTAGAGGACCAAAGTTAGACTCAAAGCACTCATTTTTAACATCTCACCACCACCTATAACTTTAGCTTCAAGAGGATTTGATGCACCTAACCTCTATGGGTACCCACACCCCCATTATGTACATAAATCAACACAGAAATACATGTTTTAAAAAAAATGAAAATCTTTGAAATTTGGTTTTTCAGTAGCTTTGCTTTTTCATATACATTTTAATACAATTTTGTTTATATCTCTAAAAGAAATGAGATACTAGAAATTTTATTAAAATTTTATGGACTTTGGGGAGAATTAATTATTCTATGTAGATCCAATGTACCTGAAATATTTTTTATTTATTTTGATGTTTATGATATAGTATGTCAGCCTTTTGTATAGTTCTCCTACAACTTATATGTGATATTTTGCCCAACGTACACCTAAGTAAGATTTTACCAGTGTATCTTTATGAATTAAAGATAGTACCATATATCTAAGGTTATTTGTTTGGTGTCCATGTATTCATTGTTGGAATAAAACACCATTGCAAAAGGAGAGGTGGGCTGTGTTCCCACGGGATCCTGGATCCATGGCTAGTTAACCTGAAATAATAACATGGAAACTGTATTCATTTAAACACTGCCTGGCCCATTAGTTCTAGCCTCTTACTGGCTAACTCTCACATCTTAATTAACCCATTTCTTATAATCTGTACTGCAACTTGACTGTGGCTTACCGGCATGAGTTTAACCAGTGTCCATCTTGGAGAGGAGAGCCATGGCGTCTGCCTGACTCTGCTTGTTTCTCCCAGCTTCCTTTTCTGTCTACTCCACCTATCTAAGCTGCTGTCCTATCAAAAGCCAAGGCAGTTTCTTTATTAACCAATGAAAGTAACACATAGACAGATGATCCTCCTACATCATTTCCCCTTTTTCTGTTTAAACAAAAAAGAAAGGCGTTCACTTTAACATAGTAAAATTACATATAACAAAACAGTTATCAAGCAAGAGTTACAATTACAATATTTATATCTATTTTATCTTTTATTATAACAAAAGAAAACTCTAACTATAACTAACCATTCTTCAGCTCCATCAAAGACTCCAGAAAGATATATTACCTAAGTAAACAAGAAGTAAACAACTTCCAAACTCTAGAAATGACAGAGACATCTTGCTGCCTAGACAGTCACCCAAAGTTCCTCTATATTGTTGGGGCATCTGTCTTCAGCCTTCAGGCCCATAGTATCTAGCAAACTTTTCCATGAAGCAAGAAATTTCAAAGGCAGTTCAGTCACTATCTGCTGTGTCCTACAGAATGTCTCACAGACTCTCTCATGAATCAGGAACCTCAAAAAACCATCTCACCTTTAGGCAAGTTCAGCAGTCCTCTCTCTACAGGTTCTTTGTGTCCAGTTTATGCAACAGTCCAGGCAAGAGCAGTTTCTTGCCCAAATGGCTATCAGACTCCATAAGGAGCCTCTTCAATGTCCATCTTCCTCTTGAAGGAGCTGGTGCTGCCAGGAGCAGACCTGTCTCATTGTCATGAAAAGCCCTAAGTTATTAAAACATTTAAAATGTCATATTCTGTAGTCCTTGAAAGATATGAAGAATGCCTATCTAACTGAAATATAACTCTATATATCTAGAAAATCTAACTAACATGACTACAAGCTTGACTATTATTGATGATTATCCATCAACAACCTATATTTCCTAATTATATATTACATTTTTAAATGAACTACACAATCACAATACCTTAATCAAGATCAGAAATACATATAAGAAAATTGACCTTAAAATCTATAATAATGCAAATTATTCATATCTATATCATATCCCCCTTTAAAGGTCAATGAACATTTATAAACAATATTTGGGAATATGGATGTAGTTATTTCTCTCCAAACTTCTTTCTGCTGTATAGTGGCGCTGTTAGTCAGGTCTTTTATGGTCTGTTCTGTGTGCCAGGTTCATCTCAGTCAGCAGTTGAGTGAAGTAATTTTTTGAGACTGTTCACAGCAACCTTTCAGGAGGACATGGTCTATTATACCATATTGGGATAGAAGCAATCCACAGGGTCTCATCCTCTGTGAAAACAAAAAAAAGAACCTCCTTTCCAAAGCATCATGTCCTTAGAATCAAATTCTGCAGTCATAATACTTTTATAATAATATACATAGTGGTTTAGCCTAGTAGCCCATACAATGAAATGCCTCTCTGTACTTAGCTCCTTCACAGTCAAAAATTTCAAAGAAAATATAATATACAGAATCCAAACTCTCTGCGAATTTTCCATTTTTACATGGCTTATTTTTCTTTATTTCTTTTAATCTATAACTATCTGTACTCTGTCTCTTTAAAGACTACCTTTTTTTAAAGGCATTAACTTTATTCTCTATATTCTTTTTCTTCTCTCTCCCAAGCTTATGTATAGTCATCCAACACTATGACCCATTTAGAGGTCTTTTATGTCTGCCTCTGTCCTATTGTGATGTCTGGTTTTGCTTTGTGCCTTTAAATCGCTAAGTGCTTAAGAATCTAACCTGTGACATTCCTAGGTCAAAAACAGGTACTGCAGGCTTGCCCTGCTCAGTCCAACATGGCGGAGTTGTTCGTGCCTCTGAGCCTTGCACATTACACTACTAGCATGGCGGAGGTGCTTTGCCTCTGAGCCGCAGCACGCAATGACCCCCTTTTAGGCACAGAGTGAGTCTAGTTGCCATCAAACAAATCATAGCACTTTACACCAAATGCTCCATTCAAAAGCTCTGCCTCCTGCAGGAGCCAGACAGAGATCGCGATGGTGGCATAGCCCAGAAACAGGTATTTTAAAACTGCCACGTTCTAGTAGACCTGATCCCACTGCCTACTCAGACAGGAAGAGCTGAGCCATGGGCATGGTCTCAGCTACTTTATTCCCAACCCCGAGTGGGCACACAAACGTCCAGGCCCAGAAATGCTCCATACCCGGATATTGCATTGGTGGCAGGGCCCAAAAAGCTGTGTTTTTAAACAAGGCAGCTTTTTTTCTGCCGCTATTGTTGAAACAGGAAATCTCTCTACAGCACGTCCTAGCAAATAGCAGAAAGCTGTGTTAAACTCTCTTTCCCCTTTTTTAAAGCACTCTCAGATTTTTAAGTGGATTTAGTTGCCACATTGGAGTGCCAATTGTTGCAAAATGAGCATCAGGCTGTGTTCCTGCAGGATCCCGGCTCCCCAGCTAGTTTACCTGAAATAATTCATGGAAACTGTATTCATTTAAACACTGCCTGGCCCATTAGTTCTAGCCTCTTATTGGCTAACTCTTACATACATTGAGGTTTTGGTGGTGTTATTATTAGTGTTCAAAGTCTTTTGACTATTTTCTTGATATTTTGGACTAGCCTTCTATGTTAGCTACCAATAGAGTGGTTAGGTGTGATGGCACACACCTTTAATCTCAACACTTGGGAGGCAGAGGCAGACAGAACTCTGTGAGTTCAAGGTGGGGTAGCATGTACCTTTAATCCCAGAACTTTGGAGGCAGAGGCAGGCAGATCTCCATGAGTTCAAGGACAGCCTTGTCTACAGAGTGAGTTCTAGGACCAAGACACATAGAGAAAACCTGTCTCAAAAAGCCAATAATTAAAAATAAAAATAAAAGAAATAGAGGTTAAAATAAAGCCATGTAAAGATGAAAAACATACAAATAATCTTGATACTGTATGTTATTATGTTCTCTTTGAATTGTTTGAATGCTGAGGAAGGAGAAACAGCTGCTAAAATTATGTTTATAAATGCTGCTGAATTAATCTAAGGTAGGTATTTTAAAAATACCTTGATTTCAAAATTGAAGTCAAAAGGCATGTTACTTTGGAAAAGAGGTTTTGCTTTTGCTTCCATAAGAAATGAGAGGCTGTGGATTCATTCTGAGTTAAGAAAAATCAGGTTTGATCAAGGACGACCAACTGAAAAATCTCTAATATGAAGAGATGGCCCAGATGTCTGAGTTTTACATCCAGGACAGATTCAAGACTGCTGACTGAGATGATCAAGCCTCACAGGATACTCCAGTCATGACTTTATCATAATTCTAAATTTTCTTTAGGTACCCATAAGATTATCAGTACCCCCAACAAGAAGGAAGTAGCCTGAAAAACTACACCCACATTCCCCCAAAATGGACTATGGATATTTTCCTTTGTTTAGAATGTTGGTTATAAGTTGTTATGGATAATGGTCAGGAGAAAAGCTAAATAAAGTATATTAGATTCACAATTCTTGTTTTATTTTTAAAGAGGTGGAAGTACTGTGGGACAATGATTGTACCTTGTCAATTGTATTTTAATAAAAGGCTGATTGGCCAGTAGCCAGGCAGGAAGTAGAGGCAGGTCAATGAGAACAGGAGAATTCTGTGCTTATGATATATAACAGCATCTAGCATTGAAAAAGAAACACCTAAGAAGCCAGAGAACATCTATTCAGTAAGACAAAGAGAAGGATTGAGAAGAAGAAAGAAAGAGAAAATCAAGAAAACTAAAACTCAAAATTAACTTCAGAGGAAAGATCCCATTCTTGCTGGAGAAAAGCCACACATCTGCAGAACACTCTCAGGGAGGCCAGACAGGGGAAGGTTACAGAAAGATAATGTTGAACTCATTTGGCAAGTGAATACACTACCACAACCCCATTGTTCAGCTGAGCCAGCCTGGAAAAGCAAGCAAAGCACAGGGTTAGTATTCATAATTTTATTCTGAAGTGTTCTCTCTTGAATAGCTGCTAAATTTTAAATAAACTGAAATAAGAATATTTCTATAGTAACCATGGACCTCCCCCTTCAGAGTGCTGATCTGTACCCTGCATGCCAAGCACACTGAATTCTAGTCAAAGTTTCTATCCTAGCCTTTTATTTAGTTTGCATGTCTTCTGTAAGAGATGCTTAATATGGCCTGAACGGACACTTAACTGTTTCCAGGCATCTTATTAGAGCTATGGGATGTGAGATTTTCAGTCAAATAAAATTGTTAAGATGGGCATGTACAGTGGAGAGAGGGAACATGTAATGCTAGAGAGGTTGAAGATCTGTGCCGGTGCCTCTCTTTCCCATAGTCAACATTTAACTTTGGAAAGTGAAGAAACTAAAACCTTACCATAGACAAATTCATCAAAGCAACACCTAGAGCTAGAACTAAAAAACAAAAAAAATAACAATAAAAACAAACAAACAAGCAGAAAAAAATAACAAACAAACAAACAAGAAGTAGAATGTTGTTGGGTGTATGCAAGTAATTCCAGTATTTGGTAAAGTAGAAGTATTAGAAATTTAAGGTCATCTCAATTATATGGTAAATTTCAGTTCAGCTTAGATGAGACAAGTATATAGTAATAATAATAGCAATAATATTAATAATAATAATACATAAATAAATTTTTCTTTTTAGTAAGTAAATTAGCTATTTGTCATTTTACTCTTCAATATATAAATCACTAAATGTGGCATGTTTTATTGTCAATGGTAAGAAAATGTAATGTATGTTTAGCTGTTTAGCTGGTTTGTTAGTTTTTTGCTGCCATTGATACAGGTTCTCACTCTGTAGCACTATTTGGCCTTGTACTCTCTTTAAAACACAATCTCATGTATAGTGAGCCACCATGTAGCCACCCAAGAACCAAAATGTAAGCTCAATCTCTTGCCCCTGACTTTCTAGTGCTAGAATTATATTCATGTGCTATGACAACTAGTTCAAAATGTTATTTAATTGGAAATGCTTGAGAAATTGACTTAGCAGAAGAAAAACTGTACTACTCTGAATTAAAAGATGAGGCAACAAATTAGAGCTAGTCAAGATGCCAATCAATAGAAGAAAGATAAAAGTCTCAATGCAGCATTGTTTACCATTAGTTTGAATTTGGAACCAGCTAAATATTTATTTAGAGGGGACAAGGCTTTTAAAAAATATATAGTACAGCTATATATCATGCTATAACAAAGGCATAAGCAAAGTTGACATTTTTTAATGGTACTAGAGATTGAAACCAATTGAACCATTTGTGGTATGTTAGTAATCTGCAATTTAACTATGTCTCCAGGTTGGATATTTTTATGAACTAACATGAGATAGATTTTATATTTGTGCTACTATAGTATTATACTATCTAATTGAAATTATAAAAGGCATATACATTTAGAAACATATGTATTTATGCAATAACTGTGAATTTTTAAATAAAGGGTCAGCTTTGGTTTCCTTTTTTGGAGGAGAATCAAACAACTGGAAAAGAGTGCTTTAAGGAAAAATGCTACCGCCTACACTTCAAAGATTTTATGTATTTTTTTATTTTATTTTATTTATGAGCCATGCAAATGATTAGTCATTGAATATTATATTAAATCTTAAATTTTAAAAATAGC